CCCCTGGGAGTGGGAGGGGGAGTTGGCTTGGTTCCAGAACTGCCCCCTGGGCAGTAGAGCTCAGGGGGTGGAAAGTTCATCCACACAAAATAGGAGGGTGGGGAGGGAACACTGCATCCTGGGATGCTGGAGGACTGCAACTTGGGCAGCTCATCTGTGGAGAGTGGCCACACATTAACACAAGCTGGGTAACATGGATCAAGGATAAACCTGCCCTGGAGAGAGAAAACTTTAAGCCACCTAAAGTGTGCTTAAAACTAATTTCAGGTATTAATGTGTGGACAATACAGAGATTAAGACCTCTAGGAGCGGCCCAAAATTAATGTGTAGCAAGGCCCTTTAGTTTAAAAAAATCCACCAGAGGAATTCTTATAACTTCCTTTGCCTGGCTCTCAGTCTCAGGCATTTGACTGAGACTCCCCAGCACTTCTGTCATCCTCAGCAACACAACTGACCCTTTGGGGCTGTTAGGAGCAGGTAGAAATTGCAGCAGCCTTCAGGCTGTTCTAACTTAATGCTTGTAGAACTGCCTGCTGCCCAGCCAGCTCAGGGTCAAGATATATGCCCAATATATTCTTCTATTAATTTTGCTATGGTGTTGCTGCAACCAAAGGTCTGTGCCAGAGTTCAGATAAGTTGAATAATCATCACATCATAACATGAGTATCCCTGAAAAGGGATGGGATGGGCAAAATTATCCAGTTATATAGTGATCCAAAGTTATTTGAGCTGCAGCTGGTTTCATGTGTAGGACCTTTTTACCTTCCAAAAGTGATTTTGAACAATTTCCCCTTTATTTCAAGACAAAATCCTGAAACATGCAATATTTTGACTAGCTCCCCTCACCATTCACCAAATTCAATTAGAGTGGTTAATGATCAGCAGCACTGGAAAAAAACCCAGTTTTATTTATATACCTAAATGTCAGCACCTCCACTGTAGAAAGTGCTTGTTTCGCTACCTGCAATATTCAATTGCCAAGGAGAGTTACTTATGGGAAATCTGTCTGGAAAAAGGATTTCTTCTATATATACAGAATTCATAATGTCTTAATTATGCTTTCATAATTTCTCTTTCATGATTTATTTTCTGTTATTCTTTATTCCTAAAATGTAATTGTATGATTCAGGATCTCTGCTGTGAAAGGGTTTATCTGTGCCAATAAAAGCCATAATTTTCTGTGTCATTTGGAATGGTGTACAATATCCATAACTATCCCAAAACCACACAGAATTCATCTTCAACTTCCAATTGGAAATGAAATTTGCACTATTTTCTGACAGGATCATTTAAGTTTATGAACATTTCAAAGGAACTTGAACCCACTTTTCTGGTTTTGCACCAAAACTATACACAGTTAATCATCATACTAACAAAAGTGAATCTTGATATATTCACTTAGTTCTATTCTACTCTCAGTTAAGCACTATGCTCATTGTTATGCTGCTCTCAACTACTTTGTGCCAAATGCATTCCTTGTAGAAACTAAGACAGTTGTCCTGATTTCAAAGGAACAGACTGAGATTTTCTGATGGCAGCTGCCATACAAATGCAATGGATTTTCATATTAGCATGAATTGTAGCTATTTATGTATTTTCCCCACATAACCTAGGAAGGAGTAAGTGTTGACAATAGAGAGTTATTCTGAGTTCATGCAAATGTTGGAGCTAGAGATAGGTCTACCTAACCTCCTTCATCCAAGCAGCACCTTAAGCTCTGCAGGAAGTTCAGAAGCCAAACTGAAACACAGACATGAACTTTGCAATTTAACTCCTCTTAATAGAAACAAAAAAAAATCCTGGTCATGCTAACACCTTAAGTTTAAGATACTTAACTTTTCAATCACATTCCAAGTTTTGCAGATGAGGCCATATCTAGTTAATGACAGGGGAATAAAAGAGCTGGCAAAGAGACCAATAAGTTATTTTTTCTTACAAGATTTTCCAAGAGGTATCAATTGCTCTTTAGTACATCATTGCCTCAAACATAAACAGAAAAGAATCTAAAGACATGTCTAAATTCAGAGATTTTGAATATTGTAGAAAACAACTATACTTTTATTGAATTTAAGCCATTTAAATTTAAGCCTGATTCAATGTGAAACAGCAAATTACAAAATATCAAAAATAAAGATTAGGGGTTTATAATGAAAGGCCAAGTCAGCCTTAACTATAGCAGTAAAACCAACATCTCTATAATACAATAATTATAAGCAATACAACAATAGGTATGTATAATACATACAACTAGGCTTGATATTTGTGGTAGACCAGTCACTCAAGGCCACTAAAAAATTTATAAAGCAACTAAAATGTTAGGTTTAGACTCAACATTAACTAAATTTACAAGAAAAGACTAAAAATCCTCAAAAATCCCATATCTGAAAAAGCAATAGTGAAAACTGTTCTGTTCTCTCCGAAATTCACAACCAGAACAAAATCTCTCAATTTGAATGAATCAGCCTGCCCTTTAGATTAGCCCATAATCATTAAAAAGATCAGAAACTTCTACATATGTCCTGAATGTATGGAGTTCTAACTGCAGTGAGAAAAAGTTAATGAAGATGATCCACAATGTAGTTTGAAACATACAGACCATTGGTTACATATCTTTTTTTCTAAATTTTTCAAGCCAGTTCATGTTTAAGCATCAAACTTTCTGGAGAGTCTTTGGCTAGTAAAATCTGAAGGGAATTGCCAAGAATTTTTTGGCTTTGTTTTTATTGTAAGAGAGCTGCATGCTATTTTCTCATAAAGGAATCACAATGTGCAGCTACATATTGGCATTGAGGCAGAGTTTGGTCAACCACGCAAAAAATACTTCACACTTTGTAGTGCCTTTCATCAGAGAGCATTAAAGTGCTTTGCTAACATTAATCAAGCCTCACAACACCCCTGTGAGGTAGGTAAAAGATACATAAGGAGGACTTTACTCATTACAGACATGAACATGTCTCCGGGAGAAAATCAGCAGCTTGCTAACATTGCAACACAGCACGGATGTTTAGGGCTTACTACACTCCAAACACTGTATGTCACATAAGAGCAAAGGACTCCCTCTACTTTTGGTTATACAAGGTCAGCAGTCCTGCACGCTACTAAGCAAAACAAGAGTTTTAAATACTTGGTCCGACACAACCACACCCTTTGCATGGTAAAAGATACACAATGGAAGGATCAAGAACTGCAGCTTTTGGGCTAGTGGTGTTCTGCTGCACTGGCCCGCGTCAGTACAGTTAGCAGTAGGGCAGAATACTCCTGGGACGTGCCTACCAGCTCTTGAGGATCAAAAGTTCCATGGGAACAAGAGGCTATATTAGAAAGTGCTCTCTACACAATGCTGCACTTCAATCTGGCAGTTGACCATGTTGGGGCTCATCGACTAATGGAGCTTACTTATATCCTATCTGTGAAAAAAGTCCATTTAGAATGAGTTAATGCTACTATGATGCATTTTGTGAGCTTCTATGCCTTTTGAAGGGAATGGCTCTCCCCCATACTCCTCCAGAGGAGCAGAGCTGATATGCCATACTGTTGTCAAATGGTGGGGCACAGAAATACTAGTGTTTATCTACCATCTCCTCTCTGAATAGCCACAATCCATTTCCCATGAGTTTTCTGTGACTGCTCTTTTCCCTGTGGTAATGCTCAGGGAGCATATGGCCGTAAGATGAGGAAATCAAGTTTTATCCCCAAGAAAGGGCACCAAGAATGCAGAATACCATTATATACTACAGATTCATTATATTCCTGCTCTCTTGAATATATGATTAGAAATAAATACCGCATGTAGGTTTAGAACACCGACACTCCCCTTAGGTGTAGTAAAAGGAAATGAATATGGAAGGAGAATTTTCTCAATATTATTCACTACAAATATATAACTCCATATTTCACTTTTTCTTTTTAAAAAAGTTGGCAAAAATGGCAGGTCCTGTATTTACGAAAATGTCACTCTGCTGCTGACTCAACTGTAGACAATTTAGGTGATTCAGCTTTTATACTAGATCATTATTGAGGCTGACCTGTCATGTGCAAGGTAGCTTCCTGTTTAATTTTGTGTTCATGGATGCAAGTTATTCTCCCCTTTTGCCTATCTCCATCTGAATTTGATAAGTATTTCTGAAACTTGTACATTAGCAGCTGCATAACTAACTACTGCACAGGTTGAGGAACCCATCCTGAATACCCTTGCATTAAGATGGTTTATGGATTTGGTCCAAACAGCTATGCAAATTTCTCACCATAAACACTGCATACGTCCGTGATTAAAACTCAAAATTTGTCGATTCACTGATCAGCAGTGAACAAGATTGACTTATACAATTACAGTACTATATGAGTGATATCTTTTTCTCTCAATATATATGTACATTTTATTTAAGTATGGGAATATGGAGACTGCATATATAACAATTGGCAACTCAAAAATGAGTTGGCATCCTTATAATCAGTAAGAGACAATCTGAAATAGTGCTGCAATAATTGGCATCTATCATGGATGGGTGACTTGACTTCTCATGCTGCTCCTCTGTTTTGAGCCTTTCACATTTCCCTTTCCTTCCTTTCAATCCTTCTGTTCATAACAACACTGATTGTCATAGATAGTCTTTGTGCTTTTGCATAATGCCCATCTTTGATGTAACAGGAATTCACATACAAAACTTGGCCATTGTAAGTGAGCATGCTAAGAATACAGGCAGGGACCATACAACCATGCACAAAATACTCTGAAGTTTTTTTCAAACTGACGGTAACATTTACATGCACCACTTAATATCATGTTTGGTCATGTACACAGAGGGCCAGATTTCACAAGCATCATGACCTCTTCTTTCATGAGTTTGTCTGCTTTTACAGTTTTAAAAGAGCCCAGTGCAAAAGAAACCTCCCTGTATTTCTGATCTTGTCTTCATTATTTCAATGTCAAATGCGTTTAGAATCTCTCAAAATGCATTTCTTGCAAAACTTCATGTTAAATGGTTAATTAGAGACATGGATTAGTGTGCCAGGGATTTTCTTAGCCACTGGAAGAGTTCTTCTTTATAAAGCTTTTGCCATCGCACATTGGCTTCCACTGTTTCCACAGCTCGAGAGAAAGAGGCAGCAGCTCCCTCCTCATAGCTCTTTATAAAGTTCTTTAGCTGGAAATACAATTTAACAAGTTAAATTTGCATGAACTGAAGTGAGTACGTATTACCAATGCATGTAAACAAGTCAGGTATTTAGAAGAAACCCCTACAATCACCACTAAAGTAAATGCACTATCATGCAGAGAGATTTATTATGAAATGCAGTAAGACAGCAGACTGTGTCAATTAGGTGTGATTCGATTGCTTCAAATTGTGCTGGAAGATATTGACACGTCAATGTCGGATTGCATTAACATCATTTCTTCCCCCTCTCCTGTAGCCCAGCTGCTGTACTTTGCTGACAGCTGGACTTCTTTGAAGTTTTATTCCTACTTAAGAAATTAAATTGGGAGCACTGGAAAGGCTCCCAGTTCAGCTTCATGAGTAAAAGTCAAATAACAGAAGCATGGCTTCTTCTGAGAGAATTTAGTATATTCAAACATAATGGATGTGTTTTACTTGGCCTTGTAAAACTAGTCAGATTACTACAAATGAATGGTCTAGGGAAGGGAGCAAAGTAGCTTCAGTTACTGGCGATGGCCACAATGTGAAGAACCCACCAGCAGTAGTTCATGGATGATTATTTTCTAAGTTTTGGACTAGACGTCTTGCATGATATTTAAATTATGATAATACCAGATGTGACATTATATTTTGGGCTGTTCAGCTAATGGCACTGGTGTTGGATTAATACTAGATTTAAGTGAAGAGAAATGGAAGAGTGATCTGTTTAACATGTTGATAGTAAAAAATAATCTCCCATGTAAGACTGATTGGTTGTAGGTACTATTATTCATGGTTACCAAACATTTGCTCCTTAGTGAAGGTAAATTCTATATATTTATTGAAGCTTGATTTTAGGTTATACCATATTTTGACAATTGTTTAAAGAGAGAGGGTTTGATCCTTAAAGTGAGGTGCTGAACAATCCCATTTTCCACTAAAGTTAATACGACAGGAGGCACTTTGCATCGCTGAAGATCAACTTGTACATCTGTACACCTTTTTACCAACTGATTCTATGGCCAGGTTTTCTTAGGGGAGGTGGAGACAGGCAGTTATCCATGTTATGGAGGTGGAAACTGAGAATGTAGCATGCTCTTGCCTGCTGTCTGAATACTGAAAGCTGGCTGACTCTATCCATCCCAGATGACTGGCCTTGGGGAAGCCAGCTGTGGCTCTTGAATTCTGAGTTTGGCAAAACTATAGTGTAGAGAAAAGTACAGCATGACCACGAAGGCTGTAACCAGCCTTTGGTCATCAGTGATTATATTGTGTAAGATCATTTTATCCATTTGGGATGATATAAAGCAGCTGATAAGCAATACATAAACACTACCATACAAGTACCTCAGACAAATAAAGTTAAGCCAGATTATCATAAACAATTGAAAAATATAGATAATTTAGGCAAGAATATAATTTCAAAGGTAGAATCTGCCTAGAATACAAGGGTTAGCAGCTAGCCCACATTTAAAGTACTGTAGACAGAGGAACAACACACAGACCACTGGCATTATTCCCCGTTCTTATCACAGACATCAGGGTTTTCATTTTCACTGTAGCACATCCCTGAAATGGATATAACAGGCCAGTATTTAATGTTCTGAGCAAAGGATAGCAAGACACCCAAGTCCAGCTGCAGAATTTGAACCCATATTCTCACTCAGGCAAATTAGAAATAAAATTCTAAGCTTATATACAGTTTACTATAATAAACAGTTTACTATAATAAACAGCTCAAAATCTCTATTTAAATTGGTGTGCCTTCTTTCCCTGCTGAGGGTCTGCCATGTACTGTGGAGGGGTGTTAAAAAGAAAAACTTGCAGTGGCAGGATTTGCAGTTATGACCAAAAGAAGTCCAATATTGTTGTACAGCACAGAAAGAGTTGCCTGAAATATCTTTGTTGGTCCACAGGCCACTAGCCAACCCACAGCTCCTTGACAATCATCTTCCCCAGTTGCATGACACTGGCCTCTTGCTGCCCAATTGCAAGATGTGCTTGTATCGTCTCTGCTAAGCAGCCAGCATTTTTTGATGACTGGGTCCTGTTCACTACCTGCCCACACCTTCAGGGTTTGGTCACACTGAATGCAAGAAACCCAAAGTGATTCATCTTCCCCATGGGTCACTGTCTGCTCTCATTCAATAGAAAGATTTTTCAGCCCCTTTGACCTTTTCAGCTGCTGAACTTCAGTGTTTCTACCTATCCCCACCCTTGGACAATGAAGACAAAAACAAGACTTAAGACAGAAACAAGTTCAAGCACTTAGGTTGATTTAATATTTACCTCATTTAGTTCTACCTCGGTATTAAGGAATTCTGTGACGCCACTGATAAGTTTAGAATTCATAAATAATGCTTCTCCGTACCTTCAAGGGCAGAAAAACATTTAGAGTTAGTGTAAATGTTAAATCTAGAAAATATCACTAAAGCAAGGAGATAAAAACGGAGATGAGCCAAAGATGATTCTGAGGATATGCATTGTTTTTCTTGTTTTAAAAAGAACAACATCAAAATTGTACCATCAAGCTTGCACTGCCTCAAATTGAAAAATTGGATTGACTAGGGTCTATTTTAGATTGAAGGATTTATGCATCATTTTACTGGTATTCTGTACCGTGTCAGGATGTCCTCAACTGCTGTTATAGATGCTCTTTAGGTCCTGAAGTTCAAAAATAAGGAAGGATGTTTTATTAGGCCCAAATCATAAGAACTTAGGTTTTCATCACATAGATTTTCATTCAAGGACTTTAGCCAGTTGAGACTTAACTTGGGGTGCCTGACCTATGCGGACTCTCAAGAGCAAAAAAATCAGGACATCCATTTCAGGGAAGGAGTGTGAGGTTCCTTTACAGTGAAAGCCTTACAGCGTACTATTTTGATGATTTGTGTTGCTTTCTTTTCTCTATTTGCCATTTGTCCAACTCATTTACCTAGCAGCCATTTTGTAAACTGAGCTGAATCTGGTTGTCTCTTTCCAGGACTTAACTGAGGATAAAAACACGTCCAAGAGAACTAACAGGCCAATCAATGATAATATAAAATGTTAGGCAATGGGGGTCCAAAGCTGTTGTACTTGAACAGGATGTTGTACTTTAGTGAGCTGTACTATCCTACAGATGCTCACTTTGAAAGCAGTTATTAAAATACCATTCAGGCTACTCGCTTGTTCACAGGTTTCCCTGGGTCTAGTAAAGAAACTGCTTTGTATCTACTATCTTAAAAATAAACCAGGAGAAAGGATGGCTCCTGCATGTCTGTATTTCACATGGGAGTCTCTCTCTAAAATCACTACTATACAGAGTTGCCATCGAGTAGCAGCCAGGAAGTATTTTTTCAGGAGTGATGGCATTCAACACAATAATCAGCATTTGATGGACATTAGAGTGAACTAGCCCTTAAAGTATATCTAACTTGCCTATTTCTGGTCATAACTATGTTTAAAGACTGAGAACCTGAGGGTAGTGTCACACGTTCAACTTAACACTTACTAAATCCAGATAAAACGCAAACAGACACATGTTCAAGCATGTAAGTTCATATTGAGTGCCTTCAGGGCACTGCAAAGTAGTTCTTTTTCAAGGGAGGGTTATCTCCCGACACACGCTAACTTTAATAGGTCGCTACAGTCTAATGATTTGCAAATGTGACAACTGAACATGTGACAAGACCCTAACTCTACCCTCATGCATGCATACCCAACTTCAATGCCATTGCGTGAGGCCAGACTTAGGCTCACAAACGTTACTCCAAACCAATTTAGAGGGCCAATTCAAATTTTAAGTTGAAATGTACTAGCAGAGCCACAGCCTTCTGTTCTGTTTATAACAACCTTATACTAAAATTAATTACCCTTAAACAGTTCGGTAGTTAAAGCCAGGCAGTCTTTCAAAAAATGAAAGCTCTATTTAATAAAAGTCTCAAAAAACCTCTATCATTTTTTTTTTAGGGGAAAAAATATTTCTGAAGGGTGTATTTGTTGCTTATTACCTGGAACTTCTGTGTAGGGA